GACAGACAGACAGACAGACAGACAGACAGACAGACAGACAGACAGACAGACAGACAGACAGACAGACAGACAGACAGACAGACAGACAGACAGGGTGTGCTTGTGAGGGAGAGAGAGACACAGAAAGAACGGGAGAAAGGAAGACAAAGACAGAGAGAGGAACAGAGAGCGCCCGTGCGTCTAGTATTGCGTTGGCTAGTTTGTCAGTGAGAAGGAGGCTGCTGGAGCGAGACGTCGAGGCGCCTCATCCACCTCATGAGAGGGACAGGACAGACAGATCTGCGACCCACCGCGATCGCCTCCCTCGCCATCTCTGCTCTCTGCCGCAGTTGGCCCAGCCTCCCCGGCGGCTGCACTTGCCTCTGGATGGCGAGCTCGTAGTTGTTGCCCGCGCGCACGATGCAGTCCTGGGCGTCCTTGTGCCGCAGGGCGGTGGCGTCGATGTTGTTGATGCGCAGCACCGCGTCGCCGGCCTGCAGTCCGGCCTTCTCCGCGGGGGAGCCGCCGTTAACCTTGAGAGGGACGAGAAATAACAGACGAGAATATAATTATCACGGCCCTGTGAGTGCGTGGGAACTCCTCGTCGCGGCGCCGCGAGCCGACACTAGGGCTGCGCCGGGGCCGGGTGCGACCTCCCCCGCCACCACGGGTGGCAAAGGCATCGACTCGCTGTGCGTCGTCTCAAGCTCACGCTGTCGCGCTGCTCGTCCAAGGTGTGATCGCCCTCCCGAATCTCGAGTACATGTGTGATGTGTGAGTTGTTGCACTTGTGCACTCGACGGGGTGGCTGCCCCCACGGACGCGGAGCCCGCCTCCCGCCCCCCAACCACTCTCCCGCACGCCACGCGGCCGCCACCGCTCACCGTGTCGTCTGTTGTTTTGGCCCCCCCAAACAGCATCAGTGATTGTTTACGCTGCGCCAACTCATAACAAGCTGCGGCAAATTCGTGAGGGGCACAATGCATCTTACTGCAGGTGCAGCGCGGCCACGGCGCGGCGTGGCGTGGCGTGGCGTGGCGTGGCGTGGCGTGGCGCGGCTGCCGCCTGGTAATCGCGCGCGCACCGGCCGCGCTAATCCGACACCCGCGAGCAGCACCACGCTACGCCACGCCACGCATCGCGACACCCCGGCCGGGCCGCGGGTCCCCGCGCGTGGCCTGGAGGGAGGAGGCTAACGTGTGATTCTGTTGTGGAAGCTAACCACACCAAAAATCCGAGCGTTTTTAAAAAGTGTAGTAAAAGTTGATTTTTCTTTCGTGTAACGCATCTTTTCAACTAAATATTGCGTAAACATACAATTTCTCTACTTAGCGACGTTGCGGCTTGCTAAACTTCCGCTCTGCCTCGAAAACGCAAATTTTTCTTAGCCGATACGCGGTTTTATAAAACAGGCATACATAGACTCTGTTCGGGAGATGAAGGAGGAGTGATGCGGGGTCGGAAACTCGTCTCGTGTCAGTGTCTCGTGTCGTGGAGTTTGTCTTCAAAGTTGTACACTTGCAGGAGACACGCACATTTGATCCCCGAACAATTTTTTCCCACCCCAGAACTGGACCGGGTGGGATCGACTCATCTCCGCGTACTGCATCTACGACCCCCTCCCCTTTCCCCCCCTCCACACGCCCCTCCTGGCATCCGGAAGCCGACACGCTCGCTGGGAGTCCTTCAGGCGCGAGGCGGGGCTGCGGCTCAGCCGTGGCCGGGCCCGGGGCGGCGTCGTCGGCGAGGAGTGTCCCCAAGGCCCACAGCGACCCTGCCGTGCCGCCGGCCATCATAGAGGCCGCCGCCGACGACGAAGACGGGCGATGAGGTTATGAGAAACGCGGCGGCCGCCCTGGTGACAGGGCTCGGCGCGGTGCTATGTTTAGCGTGGGCCAGTCGGCACCGGTCGGCACGCGGCAACGCGGCAGGCTCCGCCACTGAGCATAGTGCCCCGCCCTGCCCCG